TCTGTGTGTGTGTGTGTGTGTGTGTGTGTATGTGTGTGTGTGTGTGTGTGTGTGTCTGTCTGTGTGTGTGTGTGTGTGTGTGTGTGGTTTCATAAGAGGATCCAGAGGGTTAATTGGAGAAGCCGCAGATGATCACATCAGAGCAGTAATTGGAGAAGAGAAAATGAAATAAAGGCCTCACTGTTGCCGGGCAAATAATTGATCATTTTTAGTGGATTTTTTTTCTATACAATCAGAGTAAAGTTTAAACCCAGATAGAGTATTTTCAACATTATGGAGAGTTAAGCCCATCACGGGACCCCCTAACCCTCCTGCTAATGTCTGCTGCCGTTGTGTCCTTGGGCTCCCTGTGGACCCCTGCAGAGGACCAGAGGGACCGGTGCTCTGAGCATTGGGTGCAGCTCTCATTGCCACCCCCCGACTCAGAAATGGACTAATGAAGGGGCAGAACATGAATGAATGAAAGATACTTTATTGATCCCCGGGGGAAGACTTGAGGTGTCCAGCAGCAAACACACAACCATCCATACAAACACAAACACAGAAGTATCGTTCTAAAAGTTTCTAGCTGCTTTCGTCAACTGAAGTTCGGCACAATACTGAGTAGAATTAACCAAAAAAACGATAATATTTGGTCCCACTCGGAATCAGTGTGAAATGTACTTTTTGGTCTGACTTCATTTCAACTCTATAGGAGACACATTAACACTTCTATTTTTACTGTGTACAATATTCAGGCACTTTGGCCTTTGGCTTTTTAAAGCTGGAGAACCTTCACTTTTATCTTCCCATAAGTACTTTTTGTTTGTACCGACACAGAAAGTCCTGTTTAATGTAATATTTTAATCTAAAGTTAAATGTAAACATTTTTTATGTGTCCCAATGGACTCTATTTTCATAATATTTATATCTACAATAATAGACGATCCAATCCTAGATCAGAAGACTCTCATTTGGGTTGCCAGTTTTTAAGTAACAAAATCTAAAATCTAGAACCACTCATTCAAAGGAAACTGGGTAAAAATAATAAGTAGTTATTCACAATAGACAGAGATTGTAGTATTTCTTGCTAAACCCCAGCAGGTGGATTCCATCAGTCACCAGTGCCACGTGTGCCACAGCAGGAAGGTCCAACAAAAGAATGATTGTAATTGTTTTGACTTTATTTTACCTTCACTTCTACTATCATTCCAATTTATCACAAGATCGCCCAAAAAACACATGTCCATTTTTCATCCAGTCCATCCATAAAATGACCATTTGAAGTCTAACGGTCGTCGTGCTGAGAATATGGCGTCCGTTAGTGCTGCGAGCTTTGTGCGAACAGAAGTGAATTTGTAATGGAAAAAAGCAACACAATGTGGCGAGTTGCAGAATACATGTTTGTCCAGTCATCCGTGCTAATCCCGGCTGACGTCCACTGCTCAGACCTGCTCTGCCTCTTTACGGCCTCAGCAGAAAGCAGACCTCCAGGACGCACGCCACGGTCACAACATGGAACATACATGTTTAAAAGACGGTCAAAATAATACATGAAAATAATATGTATCAGTTATAAATATGTAACGCTTTTTTGGACACAAGAAGCTTCAAATGTCATTATTCTTTCTCTCCAAACACGGTGGTGATAAACTTCTACTGTAGCCACAGCTGCCCTGAGGCACACTGCTGCAACCAGTCTGTGCCATCGGCCCCTCCCACCACCACCAACCATTCACACACACACCAGACTCATTCTAATGTGGGGGAAGTGTCTTGCCTAAGGACACAACAACAGTTAAGCACTTTACCGCTGTAGTTGCCCCACTGTGGCACCTGGTGTTCCCACAGGTCTCCCATCACGGTTCAACCAGCCCCTGCCCTGCTTAGCTTCAGAGGTCTGACAGGATCTGCTTTGCAGTGTTGACGGTTTGCACTTTGAAACCAGAGTGGCGTAGTTTTTGTGAATTGTTTGGCTGGTGCTGCTATATACAGGTGCTGTTTATATACAGGCGCCATTCATATACAGGCGCCTTTCATATACAGGCGTTGTTCATATACAGGCGCTGTTCATATACAGGCGGCGTTCATATACAGGCGGCTTTCATATACAGGCGGCGTTCATATACAGGCGCCGTTCATATACAGGCGGCGTTCATATACAGGCGCCGTTCATATTCAGGCGCCGTTCATATACAGGTGCTGCGTATTTACAGGTGATGTTTATATACAGGTGCCATTCATATACAGGTGCTGTTTATATACAGGTGTTGCTTATATACAGGTGCTGTATGTATACAGGCGTCGTTCATATACAGGTGCCGCTTATATACAGGTGATGTTTATATACAGGTGCTGCTTATATACCATTTAAACAGCTCAGCTGCTGTGACCCAAAGTGCTGTTGCATTTTAATGCTATTGTTACTTTTAGAATGATGTATTTGTTCTGTTTGTGGATGTGCTCCTGCTCCTGCTGCTCCTGCTCCTGCTGCTCCTGCTGCTCCTGCTCCTGCTGCTGCTGTTTCTGCTGCTCCTGCTGCTGCTGCTCCTGCTGCTCCTGCTCCTGCTGCTGCTCCTGCTCCTGCTCCTCCTGCTGCTCCTGCTGCTCCTCCTGCTTCTGCTGCTCCTGCTGCTCCTGCTGCTGCTCCTGCTCCTGCTGCTCCTGCTGCTCCTGCTCCTGCTGCTCCTGCTCCTGCTGCTGCTCCTGCTCCTGCTCCTCCTGCTCCTGCTGCTCCTGCTGCTCCTGCTTCTGCTGCTCCTGCTGCTCCTGCTCCTGCTGCTCCTACTGCTCCTGCTCCTGCTGCTCCTGCTGCTGCTCCTCCTGCTGCTGCTGCTCCTGCTCCTCCTGCTCCTGCTTCTGCTGCTCCTGCTGCTCTTGCTGCTCCTCCTGCTTCTGCTGCTGCTGCTCCTGCTCCTCCTGCTCCTGCTTCTGCTGCTCCTGCTGCTCTTGCTGCTCCTCCTGCTTCTGCTGCTCCTACTCCTGCTCCTGCTGCTCCTGCTGCTCCTGCTCCTGCTGCTGCTGCTCCTGCTGCTGCTGCTCCTGCTGCTCCTGCTCCTGCTGCTGCTGCTCCTGCTGCTCCTTCTGCTCCTGCTGCTCCTGCTCCTGCTGCTCCTGCTGCTCCTGCTGCTTTTTATTTAATCTCGTTACAAATTCTGAGAAACCTTTGACAACTATGTTCAGGCCATTTTCATATGTTTCTTTGGATCAGTGCACTCTTACCAAAGGACTGAGGCTGTAGACCCAGGACTGAGGCCGTAGACCCAGGACTGAGGCTGTAGACCCAGGACTGAAGCTGTAGACCCAGGACTGAGGCCGTAGACCCAGGACTGAGGCTGTAGACCCAGGACTGAGGCCGTAGACCCAGGACTGAGGCTGTAGACCCAGGACTGAGGCTGTAGACCCAGGACTGAGGCCGTAGACCCAGGACTGAGGCCGAAGACCCAGGACTGAGGCTGTAGACCCAGGACTGAGGCTGTAGACCCAGGACTGAGGCTGTAGACCCAGGACTGAGGCTGTAGACCCAGGACTGAGGCTGTAGACCCAGGACTGAGGCTGTAGATCCAGGACTGAGGCTGTAGACCCAGGACTGAGGCTGTAGACCCAGGACTGAGGCTGTATAGACCCAGGACTGAGGCTGTAGACCCAGGACCGAGGCTGTAGACCCAGGACTGAGGCTGTAGACCCAGGACCGAGGCTGTAGACCCAGGACTGAGGCTGTAGACCCAGGACTGAGGCTGTAGACCCAGGACCGAGGCTGTAGACCCAGGACCGAGGCTGAAGACACAGGACCGAGGCTGTAGACCCAGGACTGAGGCTGTAGACCCAGGACCGAGGCTGTAGACACAGGACCGAGGCTGTAGACCCAGGACTGAGGCTGTAGACCCAGGACTGAGGCTGTATAGACCCAGGACTGAGGCTGTAGACCCAGGACCGAGGCTGTAGACCCAGGACTGAGGCTGTAGACCCAGGACCGAGGCTGTAGACCCAGGACTGAGGCTGTAGACCCAGGACTGAGGCTGTAGACCCAGGACCGAGGTTGTAGACCCAGGACCGAGGCTGTAGACACAGGACTGAGGCTGTAGACCCAGGACTGAGGCTGTAGACCCAGGACCGAGGCTGTAGACCCAGGACTGAGGCTGTAGACCCAGGACTGAGGCTGTATAGACCCAGGACTGAGGCTGTAGACCCAGGACCGAGGCTGTAGACCCAGGACTGAGGCTGTAGACCCAGGACCGAGGCTGTAGACCCAGGACTGAGGCTGTAGACCCAGGACTGAGGCTGTAGACCCAGGACCGAGGTTGTAGACCCAGGGCCGAGGCTGTAGACACAGGACTGAGGCTGTAGACCCAGGACTGAGGCTGTAGACCCAGGACCGAGGCTGTAGACCCAGGACTGAGGCTGTAGACACAGGACCGAGGCTGTAGACACAGGACTGAGGCTGTAGATCCAGGACTGAGGCTGTAGACCTAGGACTGAGGCGGTAGACCCAGGACTGAGGCTGTAGATCTAGGACTGAGGCTGTAGACACAGGACCGAGGCTGTAGACCCAGGACTGAGGCTGTAGATCTAGGACTGAGGCTGTAGATACCCCGTAGTCACAAGGCAACGCAGGTCCAAACAACACTCTGACCTTTCCCACACTTGCCCCAGGTCGACACATGGGTCTGTCGTATGAAAAGGCTTTAGATTGTCACCGTGGAGCAGCAGAATCATGTCTCCTCCCAGATGTTTTTTACGCTCGGTAAAAGCCGAAGGAATGGATTTGGAATCATTAAAGTCTGGAGCTGCACTGACCATGACCCTCTAAACACTTCTGTCCTTTTACTGCCACTCGACTGACGGCGCAAAGGGCGACCCAGAAACGTGCCAGTCTCTCTCTAACGAGCTCCTTCACGGACTTGTCAGATGGAACTATTTTCTCACGCCGTTCACCCGCACCGTATCCTTGAGCCGAGAACCCATCTGCAGAGAGCCGCGTGTTGCATAAGACGACCTACATCCTGTATACTGTATACTGTATGTATGTGGAGACGCTGGAGCAGAGTGGGACCTCCTCACTGCATGACCATGAGGAGCAGAGTGGGACCTCCTCACTGCATGAGCATGTGGAGCAGAGTGGGACCTCCTCACTGCATGACCATGAGGAGCAGAGTGGGATCTCCTCACTGCATGACCATGAGGAGCAGAGTGGGACCTCCTCACTGCATGACCATGAGGAGCAGAGTGGGACCTCCTCACTGTATGAACATGTGGAGCAGAGTGGGACCTCCTCACTGCATGACCATGAGGAGCAGAGTGGGACCTCCTCACTGTATGAACATGAGGAGCAGAGTGGGACCTCCTCACTGCATGACCATGTGGAGACGCTGGAGCAGAGTGGGACCTCCTCACTGCATGACCATAAGGAGCAGAGTGGGACCTCCTCACTGCATGACCATGTGGAGACGCTGGAGCAGAGTGGGACCTCCTCATTGTATGAACATGAGGAGCAGAGTGGGACCTCCTCACTGCATGACCATGTGGAGCAGAGTGGGACCTCCTCACTGCATGACCATGTGGAGCAGAGTGGGACCTCCTCACTGCATGACCATGAGGAGCAGAGTGGGACCTCCTCACTGCATGACCATGAGGAGCAGAGTGGGACCTCCTCACTGCATGACCATGTGGAGCAGAGTGGGACCTCCTCACTGCATGACCATGAGGAGCAGAGTGGGACCTCCTCACTGCATGACCATGTGGAGCAGAGTGGGACCTCCTCACTGCATGACCATGTGGAGCAGAGTGGGACCTCCTCACTGCATGACCATGAGGAGCAGAGTGGGACCTCCTCACTGCATGACCATGAGGAGCAGAGTGGGACCTCCTCACTGCATGACCATGTGGAGCAGAGTGGGACCTCCTCACTGCATGACCATGAGGAGCAGAGTGGGACCTCCTCACTGCATGACCATGAGGAGCAGAGTGGGACCTCCTCACTGCATGACCATGAGGAGCAGAGTGGGACCTCCTCACTGCACAGTGATGGCTCCTGCTCGGACACAGTGTACTCTCTCAGGAACAGTACTTTTTCCAGATAAATACTGAACAACACAACTGTGATACAGAACAACACAACTGTGATACAGAACAACACAACTGTGATACTGAACAACACAACTGTGATACTGAACAACACAACTGTGATACTGAACAACACAACTGTGATACTGAACAACACAACTGTGATACAGAACAACACAACTGTGATACAGAACAACACAACTGTGATACAGAACAACACAACTGTGATACAGAACAACACAACTGTGATACTGAACAACACAACTGTGATACTGAACAACACAACTGTGATACAGAACAACACAACTGTGATACAGAACAACACAACTGTGATACAGAACAACACAACTGTGATACAGAACAACACAACTGTGATACAGAACAACACAACTGTGATACAGAACAACACAACTGTGATACTGAACAACACAACTGTGATACTGAACAACACAACTGTGATACAGAACAACACAACTGTGATACAGAACAACACAACTGTGATACAGAACAGTGCACATGTTCAACCTGGAGCTTGGTTTAATAAGATTTAGACTAATTATATAATTGAAGTAACTGTTAAATTACTATTAAACGATTAAATCACATAATGGTCCACAATTTTAAATATAAAAAGTTATTAATCCCACTTTCTTACATTTTCACTGAATATAGTTTGGTATAATAACATTTAGTTCAGACAAAAGTCATTTTTTCAGACCATGTTTTTACTGAAGAAATCCAGTGCATAAAAGATTGTTCCTGTGAAAGCAAACTAAGACACAGACACATACAGAGAGCCACATCTGGCTCCACGGCCATAGGTTCTCGACCCCTGTTATAGAAAGACTATAGTGTCGGCAAAGCTCCACCGCAGCAGGAGAATAACCACATTATAGATCCAGCCAAAGGTCGACGGGTCTGAAAACAACTCAACTCAACTCAACTCAACTCAACTCAACTCAACTCAACTCAACTCAACTCAACTCAACTCAACTCAACTCAACTCAACTCAAGCGCTGGATTAAGGCGGTCATCGGGATCTTCCCTCTGTCGCACTCATGGGACACCCTCCTCCAGAGAGTGGCGAGGGGTGGGGTCAGTCACTCATGGGACACCCTCCTCCAGAGAGCGCCGAGGGGTGGGGTCAGTCACTCATGGGACACCCTCCCCCAGAGAGTGGCGAGGGGTGGGGTCAGTCACTCATGGGACACCCTCCCCCAGAGAGCGGCGAGGGGCGGGGTCAGTCTGGGCGACCTATCAGGATCATCAGGATACCCACCCTCAGAGAGGGGCGGGGTCAGTCTGGGCGACCTATCAGTATGCCACCCTCAGGATAACATTACCTCATGAATGAGATAAGCCTTTATCCTTCAGTGAGACCATGTCACAGTCGTGCACTTTACAGCTGCACTTTACAGCTGCACTTTACAGCTGCACTTTACAGCTGCACTTTACAGCTGCACTTTACAGCTGCACTTTACAGCTGCACTTTACAGCTGAGTAAAAGGAGAAAAGATCAAACATCAAACAGGATCCATCAGACGCAGCTCTGTGGCCGACCGGGGCTCAGTAGAGCTTTGGCCTTTGAGCCCAAAGGTTGTGGGTTCGAGCCCACCTCGAGACCTGCTCCATCAACTCCACTGATGACTGCTGCCGTTGTGTCCTTGGGCAAGACACTGAACCCCACTCTGGCTGAAGCCCCCACTGAAAGATCTCAGCTCCTGCAGGAGGATCAGTGAGGGGCTCTGACTGCCACCCCCCGACCCAGAAATGGATTAAGGGGAAGAAAATGGATGGATAATTTGTTTGTTTGAAAATGTTTGTTTTTCTAACTTAAATCCAACTGTGTGTTTGTTGGGGGTGAGTTCGACATGTGGTGTAAAAATGGCTTCTGTAAAACTTTTCGATTATGTAACGGAGTGTGTTCTATGTGGAGCTTCAACTTTGCATAAGATTTCATGCGACAAATGACAACCATTAGCGTCGCTCTCCCAAACAGATTCAGAAAATAAATAAAGCGTGTCTGAAGCCCGAGTATACTACGGCTGTGCTTCAGAAGCCACATCTATATTTCATAAGCACCATCACATATTTGCACTGGAGCTCTCTGATATTCCGTCAGCGTGTGGGGGAGGCTGCAGCGCTCATGCACTGACTAAAAAATATGGCAAAAAACACATTTATATTTTGCACTGTGGACCTCAGCATCTTGCGTAGCGCTCAGTCCTCGCCGGAGTGCGGACGAGGCTCCTTAAATTTCAATCAGACGCTCTTCACGACAGGCCTCTCATAAGCTCGGTGCAGATCGATGGGATTGGCTCGCTGTGGTACTATTCATTTGGAGCGTTTGGGAGATGGAATGGACGGGTGAGGACTAAAGAGTCTGGTGTGTTTGCCAAACCATGACCCGACCACCCGACAGACCCACCCAAAACCACATTTATTATCAGGCACTCGCGCAGTCAGGACGCAGTGTTTCTGACCACCTCCATCATCACTACCACTCACACACAGAAGTTTATTAGTCTGTGATACATTGATTGTTCAACGGCCTTCACCAGGAATTTCAGTGCTTGTGCTTGTGGTTAATACGTTTTCTGTTTTGGCGATCCATTTTCATCATGGAATTATTTGACGAGATAATAAAGTAATACAAAGGTTTCAAGATAAGAATGAAAAATGACAATTTTGATTGATTAGTTAGGAGATAATTGGTTCAGAGAATAGAGTTGTTAAAACCACAGAATTATACAGTATCTTTTGTAAATTTGCCCAGACACAATCTCCATAGAAACTTGATGGAATGAAATTGGTTGTTTGATTCCATGTTTTTCTGTAAAGAATTTAGCTTTGTCATAAAACCTTCTCAGCATTTTTTGTTTGTCCATGGTTCAAAAACCGAACTTGATTAAGTTTACAATAGATGCCAATAAAAAGCCTGGATACTTTTCCTTCATGACGACGGCTGAGACTTCTGTTCCCAAAGTCTCATGTGTCTCAGAATGTGGAGAAATTAGGATCCGTTCTGTTGCTTGAGTGGTAATTTAAAACCAAATATTAAATCTTATGAACGGCGACAAACATCCTGAATGTGTGTCATTTACCCAAGAGATTTGAAGTGTGTGTGAGTCAGAGCAGTGATGGCAGCTCCAGAGAAAGACTGAACAAAGAAACTGCACAGATTGAAGCGCTCTTTTCTGTTAGGGTTAGGATCCTCAAATAACTTTTCTCAGAATTACTAAAATGTTCAATAAATATATTTCTACTGAGGGCTTGTATATCCAGGCGTATATATATATATATACTGTATATATATGATTATAAATACTTAATACAAAGAATCTCAGCTCAGCCAATCTCAGTTTGCATTCATAAGAATCTTAAATGCACTGGATTTCTTCATTAAACGTCACTATTTCGTGGTCAGTAAATAAAATACACTGTAAACTTACTTACTTTTTAGGGGTAACAGAGCAGTGTGGATTTTTTTGTAGTAATCTCATATGTTCTGTCTTTTCTTGGAAATAAAAAAGAAAAGAAAAAGGGAGCTGCGTGAATCTCATTGAAATTATTGAATTAAACAACTTTATTGAAATGAGTCTTCAAAAAACGATGAACTTTATTAATGTCACATAGACAGGGTGGCTCAGTCCAAACTGTGCAAACGTATATTTTAGAGCAGACAAAGTTAGTAATCAATTAGTCGATTATTTTTTTCACTGCCCTAGTTCAGGTTTAGTGGAGAAACTTCTCCCCGTGTTCAGTAAGTAAGTAAGTAATCTTTATTATTTTCCCGCCATTCACAGACCAGAGTCAAAGTGGTTTACAAAGTGTTATTATGGCATGTACATTTCTCCTGTGTGCGATCAATAAAGTCTATCATATCTTATCTCTTAAAAAGGTACACGCACTTACACGTCCAAAAACCCAAAGCCATTAAATCGACAGCTGGAACTATTGGCACAAAAGTGTGACTTGTGTCTAAGATCTCATCTGTTTCTGACGATGTCGTAACAAACCTGTGGCACAACGTTACAGCCTCGACATTCAAACTTTGCTGATCATATTTCCAGACGTCTCGGGAACTAACCCACAACACTTGAAAGGCGTCTGATGTACATTGACAGTGACAAATCTTGCCCGCTCACTCGCTAAGCTGCTAATTCCCCTCCTCTCCCGGGATCCCTGCGTTTCAGCTCACCTCTGCTACTCTCACATCAGTCGCCTATAAGCAAATCTGATGTGAAAGTTTGTATTTATAGACCGTAAGGATAGAGCGTAAGGATGGAGTTATTAGTGGGCCGTCTTTGGTGTGTACTCTCGTTCGTTTAATTAGAATTCTCCTGCTTCGATGGCCGACATGCCAAAGTGGAGCGCGGGATGTCAGCGGAGACCTAGCCCGCTGTTATTTTGGACTTGTGGAAGCGTGTCAGGGCTGGAACTATGTAGGTAGCCCAGAATCTGCACTCTTGTTGGTGGAAAGACGGTTGCAAAGATGTGGGAGAGTGTAAGAGTCTGGCCTGTTGACAGAAGTGAGATTGGTATGTTCTATCTGCAGCAAGTGAAGCTATAAAAACCAAGGATTCCATATCTTTAATCACAAATATGGATCATCACAACTGTCATTAGAACATCCTGCATCAGCAACGAACAACTGTAAACACCTCAGTCCTGGGTCTACAGCCGTAGACCCAGGACTGAGGCTGTAGACCCAGGACTGAGGCTGTAAGTAAGTAAGTAAGTTAGTTTTTATTTATATACCGCCTTTTCACTGCAGATCTGAGTCTCAAAGCAGTTTACAATTGTTAATTTTGGGCATTTGTCTCTCACTCCACACAGAGATGGGAGCGGGGCCAGTACAGGAGGCGCATGCTAGAACTATTGGACATTTTTTAGTGCTAGGGGAAACCGGAGTACCCGGAGGAAACCTACGCAGACACGGGGAGAACATGCAAACTCCACTCAGAAAGGCCCTGGTCCGACCGGGATTCGAACCCAGGACCTTCTTGCTGAGAAG